CCTTTTCTTTGCCTTTTGATTTGCTTTACTCACCCTCTATTCCTTATCACGAAAGCTAGCTGTAGCTAGCTGGAGTCTGTCTTGCTTTAGCAAGGAGGGTGGGAGCCCAGGACTTGAGTGCTTTCACCTGATATATCAGGACTACACCCCCCCCCCTCGCGGGGTTCAACTCCACCCTTCTCCTCCTCGGTCGGTACTTGCTGCTGCTGCTGCTTGGTCGCTGCTGCTGCTGCTGCTGGCATCTCATCAGCGCCTGGCTCTTGGCTGCTTGCTGCTGCTTGCATGCTTGGTGCTGCTGGATGCTCTTGGCTGCTTGCTGGTTGCTGCTGCTTGCTGCTTGCATGGCTGCCTGCTGCTTGTTGTCTGCTCCGTTTTGCTGCTGTTGCTGTTTGGGGTTGTTGGCTGCTGTTGGTGCTGAAGAAAGCCTATTCGTTAGAATCGAGAGTAGTTGCATTCCCTCTGAGTCGTGAAACGATGCTAATTTCATTATATCCTTAAGAAGCTTGTACAGGCATGTACCCACCCCACAACCCAAGAGTACAAATCAGAATGCACTATCCGCTATCCATGCAGATCAAAAGATGATACTTACTTCACACATGAATGACAGAACCCAGTCAGATGTTTGAACGGGCTGTTTGCTTCACTCATGGTAGTCCGCGTTCCATGTTCGAGCGACAGGGAGCATGCACAAGCGTTGCGACGGAGTCTTCGGTCGCTGACACATGTTCGCATACAACCCCTAGATGTCAATCATGCACACCGCTGCTGGCTGCATCGTCAGCATTTATTCGTTAAAAACCAGATATATCAGATATATCTGTCTTTCCACGTCGCCCTTCTACACTTACTCAGGCAGCACCTATATGTGCTATTGTTCGAGACCAAATGTTGGGGCACGAAAGACCCTAGGGAAAGCTCACTCTTTCCCTGCTGCTGCTGCTGCTGCTTGGTAGCTGGTGCTGCTGCTTGGTAGCTGCTGCTGCTGCTGCTGGGTAGCTGGTGATGCTGCTTGGTAGCTGCTGCTTGGTAGCTGCTGCTGCTGCTGCTGCCGCTGCTTGGTAGCTGGTGGTGCTGCTTGGTAGCTGCTGCTGCTTACTGCTGCTGCTGGTAGCTGCTGTTGATGCTGCTGCTGCTTGGTAGCTGCTGCTGATGCTGCTGCTGCTTGGTAGCTGCTGCTGATGCTGCTGCTGCTTGGTAGCTGCTCCTGCTGCTGCTGCTGCTGCTGATACTGCTGCTGTTGCAGCAGCGCAAGCTTGGTAGCTGCTGTTGCAGCAGCAGGAGCTTGGTAGCTGCTGTTGATGCTGCTGCTGCTTGGTCTGCTTGCTTGGCAGCTGCTGTTGGAGCAGCAGGAGCTTGGTAGCTGCTGTTGATGCTGGGTAGCTGCTGCTGCTGCTGCTGCTGCTGCTTGGTAGCTGCTGCTGCTGCTGCTGCTGCTGCTGCTTGGTAGCTGCTGCTGATGAGAACAGTAGGGCGCTGCGCCCGAGTAGCAGTCTCTCCCCAGTCAGAAGCAGGTGACGAAAAATTGCCTGCCAGGAGTCTGAGGGAGGGACACCATGACAGCCACTCATTTTGATGTGGAGCTTTCAATTCGGCACTGCTGCTATGTGCACTCTGCTTGCTACCAGCGGTGCACTGCCCTATATGGTGGCCCTGAATGGCCACGGGAGTGCTTCTGTATGAGTGGAGTCGTTGCAGCGTTGCATTAGACTAGGGACTGCTCGCCCTCCACAGCACTTGGCTTAAGGAGCGCAGGGAGCAGGTGAGAAAACCACTCCACGAAGGGAATCTCTTCACTCCAGACATCCACCAGCTTTGCAGGTGAGTGGCGAACTGATGTAGCAAGCTCTCGCCATTATCACTAGACGAGAGGATGACGGTGGATGTGCTTCTACGTCGGTAGGCTTCCCATGCTGCTTGGTAGCTGCTGCTGCTGCTGCTTGGCTGCTGCTGCTGCTGCTTGGCTGCTCCTGCTGCTGCTGCTTGGCTGCTGCTGGGCTGCTGCTGCTGCTGCTTGTAGCTGCTGCTGATGCTGCTGCTGCTTGGTAGCTGCTGCTGATGCTGCTGCTGCTTGGTGGCTCCTGCTGATGCTGCTGCTGCTTGGTAGCTGCTGCTGATGCTGCTGCTGCCTGGTAGCTGCTGCTTGGTAGCTGCTGCTGCTGCTGCTACTGCTGCTGCTGCTGCTTGGTAGCTGATGCTGCTTGCTGCTGCTTGGTAGCTGCTGCTGCTGCTGCTGCTGCTGCTGCTGCTTGGTAGCTGCTGCTGCTGCTGCTGCTTGGTAGCTGGTGCTGCTACTTGCTAGCTACTCCTGCTGCTGCTTCTGCTGCTGCTTGGTAGCTTCTGCTTGTTGCCGCTCCCGCTGCTGGTTACAGTTATTGTTGTTGTGGCTGTTGCTGCTGCTGCTGCTGCTGCTGCGGCGGTTGCTGGGGTGGTTGTGTGTTGCCATGTGTTGGCTGTGTTGGGGTCATATTGGGGGGGCGCTGTTGGCACTCTCCTTTTCCCTTGGCCATGGCATGTTGCGATTCCCGGCCAGGCTTTTGCTGCCTAAAGAGCACCAGCATTGTCTATTTGCCACAAGTTTACTTTTCCTAAGCTCTTTAGTGTTGAAGCTTTCCAAAAGTTTCCAAAAGTCAGTGCGCACTTTCTTTATAAAATTCCTTATATATTCGAAAGTATTGAAAAACAAAAAAACATTCAAGCAAAGGGGGTAGTTCCAGCAAGCAGCTTTCTGACATTATTTAGGGGGGGCCCCTAGAATAGTGTCTAGAGATTTGAGGCTTTAAATCGTTATTCCTTTTCTTTGCCTTTTGATTTGCTTTAATTACCATTGAAATTGCAGGTCTTTGGATTTAGATTTCCATTGAAATTTAAAAATTAGTTCTATTTGCATTGATTCATTCCCTTTTATTGTAATTAATATTTCAGATGTCTTCAAAGTTAGGTTTCTTGAGTCCTTTTATTTTAATATTGCCAGAGTAGCTCCAGAGGTAGCTAGCTAAGGATTCCTTATTTAATTATCAACTGATTGATTTTCTTATACATTATTTTGGAGGCCTTGGCTGTTGAGGGAGGGGGGGGAGTTTATAAATCAAGAGTCAACATTAGAGTACATGAGTTTGTGTTTTAAACCATACCCGCTTGGCAGCCACTTCTGCCTTCTCATCGTCCATCACCACGGGGTCTTTCTTCCACCAGCAGTTCCGAAATAGTTCGTCTTCAACACCATGACCAACAAGTTCGCTGATTTGCAAACATACCGGCTCAGCCCTACTGAGTGTCCAGACGGCTGTTCAAAGCACTGCGCCTGTCACGAAATCAGCACATCGAAGTAAAACCACCCCGATCTCCTGCACCTGCCACGAAAAGTTGACTTTAGACTGTGCCTGCCACAAAAAATGACCACCAAGTCCGAAAACGTGCACGGCACCACAACGAGAGCGCAGTTTAGGAAAGCGCCCGCTTCCAGCCCAGCAGTTTCTGCGAGCCTGCTCCATCGAAATGTCGAGGTGAATGAGTGCACCATAAATAGCGGCGAATTGGCCGGACACGGATGCGAGCACCTCGATCACACACCCGGCCTTAACACTCACCGTAAGAACCCCCAGTGGCCACAGTGTTTGGGGAACTACCGTAGGAGCCCTTAGTGAGACCACACTATTTGGGGAACAAGTTGTTTTTCGGGCTGCCAAAGACTGGGGCCTTCTTTGTGTCTTTGTTCGCAGGTGAAGAAGGGTGTAAAGGATTTCATCACAGCCGAGCAGCCAGATCAGGTGGGGAGGCTTTCTGAACTTTCTGCACTAGCATCTTGAGTGGTTGCTGATGCAAAGAAGGCTTGTAATTCCCCGGTCGGCGCGAACCAGAGGAAACTTCAGATTGCTGTCCAACAGTTATGGGTTCCCAGTGGCGGCTGGCAAGTCAAGCATTACACTTGATAGCCCAACTCAAGCTACACCATGCCAAAACAATAATATCAAACCTGCGGGAGCGGTAACGATATCCTGCTGGCCAACCAGAGTTATTGATCCCATTGTTTTGATCTAGTGGGCCTAGTTGTCAAAAAAATAAGTTTAATGTGACCCTGCTAGGAGGTGCTGGACATGCTCTACAAAACTCCGACCGCTCGTGGCTGCTCGGTTGCTGACCTATCATTGCTGATCTCGCAGTAGACAGAAAAGGGTTTGCCATGTTTTCTGTCTCCCCTTCATCAGCAGCACACCTTTGCAATGCATGAGAGAAAGTGGCTCATGCTGAATGAGCAGTTTGAGAGGTTCTTTCGTTGAGGACCCCAACAAATTACTGTATATAGCCTTTCCGTTTTTCAACACGCAACTGTTTGAGGCCTCACAGATGACCTCCCTACCTGCATCTCTGACTATACGCCGTCTTCCTTCGACCCCAAGCACTGCCGCAATACGCCCACCAGGGCAGAAGGAGCTCGTGTTGCGCAGGGAATGATTGAAACAGCTTGACGTACCCTGCAAGCAAACTGTTATGTACTTAACATGGTAGGAGATGAAGAAGCATAAATATATATATGTATATATATTTTGAGGATTTAATGTTGTAACTGTCTTCGCAGCCTGTCAGATAGTTGGACACAAACCTGAGCAAGGAAATGGACGTTTGCCAAGTCCAAGAAATTGTGTTTTCTATGTTTTTAGTGCTGAAGGTTCAGCGAGAGACCTTTGATTGACTTCAGATTGCACTATTACGCTGTCCCTGCAGGATGGTTTACTTGTGGCATTTGTGTTTTGTGTGATCCGTGTTGCGAATGCTGGACTCTCTACAATGGAGTCTTGACGGCCTTGGTTGTCGCTGCTAACAGCCTTCTTGCATTTTCTTCATACATGCTTTTTGAGATTAAACACCTACCTACCATCAAAACAGTTTGGTGGGGAGTTGATTCTCACACATAACGCCAAGCTTGGCTATGTTTGTACGTTTGTCATTGGACATGAATGCAAAAGCATGAAAAAAAACTTCACAAATAGTGTTTGACATGCGCCGGCATGTCAGAGCAACGGGCTCATGTCTTTGAACGCGCACTCGTTCCTCAGATGAGGCGGCTAGAAAGCTTCCTAAACTAGGTTGTTTATGAGTGTCGGTTGTGCTGTTTAGTAATGGTCCAATTTCAATATGCACCTGGCCTGCCTACGCAGGACAAACCAGAGTGAACTCACGAAAGTAAAGAGACCTTACCCTACATTGTAGGCCCTGTATGTTCGTGTTTGTGTTACTTCGATGAGATTGCAAAAAACTCTCCAAGTTCACAGACTTCACAAAATACATTCTGATGCATTCTGGATCTGAGGACGAATAAAAACGGAGTACTTCTTTGCGAAGAGTTGTGAGTAGAAAAGCATGCAACCCAAGCATGGCGGCGAAAAAGGCGAAGAAAGCCTCAGATTGATTTCATGTTGAGAACTTGATATGCAGACGACTTTTGGGACCCTTGCCAGTTTCACAGCCCATACGTCTCCTGGCACTGTCTCCGCCTGTAGGCCATGAGCTGGTTTGGCATCCCTTTCTGCGGATACAGCTGTGAGTGTCCTGGCACAAATCAAGGTATGTACATAAGTCAGCCAGACTATGCTGAGAGCCAAGCACCTATACCGATACCATTTTGAATGCAGCCAAGCGCGGGTTCTCAGCATTTAACCGCCGCAAGGTTCACCAAGACAGCCAGGTAGGCAGGCAGGACAGCACAAAAGAATAAAGAACTATCAATGAAAAAAAACTGCCAGGCCCAGCAGCCTAGCACATGGCTGAATTAAATAGATGTGAATTTGAATTTAATTAGAATTCAATTAGAATTGAATTAGAATTAGGTCATTTAGGATTTCAATTATCATTCAAATCAAATTTAATGTTGAGTAACTTCAATATATAATCTATTTTATATAATTGGAATTCAATGCAAATGTGTTTCTATGTAATTTTTACGTTTTTTCAATGTAATTTCTATGCAGTTTATGTTTACATCGAATATAACTCTATTCTTTTTCTAATCTAATCGTTGCTTTTATGCAATTCTAATTTGCTTCTAGAGAGTGCGTGTTGCTTTAAAGTGAACGCTTTGTATATAATTTATGCGTTGCCTTCCTTAAAGGTTGTTTTCTTAAAATCACACCACCAGCAGCAAAACCTCTCTCTAGAATAAAGTCAGATTTAAATGATAATTCAATGTCCATTGAATCAGAAATAGATTTGCATTGAACTAGAATTGAATTAAAATTAGATTAGGATTAATCAAAATTAAATTGGAAATCAACATAGAATTAGACTAGAAATGTAAACAACTGAAATTGAATTGTATATGATTTAAACTAGCTGAAACGAACAATTAAATACAATAAATTGAAGTATAATCAAATTAAATATAAGCAAAACCAAATTTAAATTAACATAAAACTAAATTAGGACTAACTTCGAGATAAATTAAAAGCAAATTAGACTTAAGTTAGACTTGAATTGGAATTAAACGATGATTGAATCAACATTTCATTGTTTCAAATAGAATTGTGTTAGAATTACGATAGAATTGAAACAGAATTGCTTAACCTGCAGCTCGATTAGAATTTACTTGCTGCAATAATCAATAAGAATTAGACTTGAATGCTAATTAAAGTTAAAATAACATTTACAATAGAACTAAATTAGGACTGCATTCAAATTCAGTCAAATTCAGTTAGAATTAGATTAAAATCAAATTGGATATTGAAATTGAACTTAAATTAGAAATCAACTATACTACTGACTAGTAACTTAGGACTTGTCGGACATACACGCCAATTCCAAAAGCCTATGTCATCAGGATTGATCCAACATTGGCATTTCCTCTTAAGGCCTATGTCATCAGGCCACAACCATCAAATTCATAGAAATATGTATGAGGTATTCAAGGAAGCAGCGCCCGCAAAAACACATAGTCGCACCCTATGTCACCAGGGTGCCAGGCAGTGGTATCTAGCATTATTTTAGCTGTTTTTTTTGTCGAGGAGGTGTCCACAGGTCCTATGACACCAGGTTTCCCAACCAGACATTATTTTTTGCTCGATATGTCAGAGCACATGACTTAGCCCTGAGGGTAGCCAGATTGGTATGTCACTTGCATCACGTTGGCCTAAGTCATTAGACAGTAGTATAGATTCAAATTTAAACTCAATCAGGTTCAAAATCGAATTTGAAATTCAAAATTTGGAATTAAGTTAGACTTAAATAATAGTTAAATTAGAGTTCAATAGAATTAGATTATAATTAGACGGTCAACTTTTTGATGAATTCAGATCAATTTTGTTTTTTTAAAATAGCTAAAATTGTATAACACTTAAGATAGAATTGAATTAGATCTAAATTTGAAGTTCATTGGAAATAAATGAAAGTTTGATTATATTTCAACTCAATTCTAAATCACCTTCGAAAAAAAATTATACAGGTTGTGCAAAAGCCCAAAGGACCAAAACACAGACAAAGCAAAAAACAATGAACAACACTTTGAGGAGAATGTTTGGTTCAGCCTCGAAATATGTTTGTTTTGGTTTTCCTTGTGTTTTTTGGTGTTGAAATCCAAAAACAAAATAACTTGTGTTACCGTATGTAGTTACTTTGTGAAGGCATTGTTACGCAGCCAATTTTTCATTGGAATTCGCAGGGTTCTATTTATCAGTCGTATCCTTCAGCTTTTCCAGTGTACTGTACCAGTAAATGATACTGGCTAAACAAAGCGTTCCCACTTGCACAACATCGAAGACCATTGAGTGTAGTTTCGGCACAAGAAGCCTCCACACACTAAAGCCGAACCAAATCTCTCAGCCTTCTCCGAGTTCAAACAGATTGTCATATTGTTTGTATAGAACAGATGCTTGGCAAAAACAAGAGTTCATAGAGCAGAAGGCAACTTGGTACGAACAACTACAATGTTGATGATCTCAAGTGTGCTGTTTATTCCTATGTTGTGAAGCGAGTGCCTTGAT